TAAAACTAATAAGACTTTAAAAAACACAAGATTAGGAGCTGCGGGTAGCTAAGTGTGTAGACCATCTTTATTGTTATCTGAAAAATCAGCCTGCATCCTATTGTCCAAAATGGTTTTTTCCCAAAATATCTGTTCTCCAGGGCTCTGAAAAGGATATCGAGGATGATGCATCTGATAATAGTCAGGCACAAAAGGATGCGCAGCTAGACGAGGATCATCGAATTGATGGTATTCTGCACGACCTACATCCAAATAAGAGGCGTTCTCTAAAATCCTTGCCATTTTTCCTGGTCACAATGTACTTCTGCTGTGCTCTTCTGCGATTTACTTTCTTCTTGGCTCAACTTACACGCCAGGCTGATGATCACTTTCACGACGATGCGACAACGGCTCGCATTGCTCAGACCCTTTCCTACGCTCTTGCCGGTGGCATTTTAGCCGGTTTGCTCTGTGGGGCCGTCATTGACAAGTTGCGGGCAGTTTTTAAACCCAAAATCTCTCACCTGCTAACGTTTGAGAGAAACGGCGATATAGACAAAGCGATCCTGTGGCTGAAACTCCTACCCATGTCTTTTTCTATGCTGATTATGTCTACATTTGCCATCATTGTAAGCAGCCTTGTGTTCGTCGCGATTGAACAGGTGTACTATGCCAACTTCTTCTTCCTTGTAATTATGCGCGGCTTCCTATTCAGCACCTTTTCTTCCTCGATGATGGCCGCCTTTCCAGTGGCACAGTTTGGCACCCTCTACGGCATTGGCGGTGCCATTGCGGGTGCCTTCTCCTGCCTTCAGTATGCCCTGCTTGTGCCTGCACCTACAATTGGAAATGGAATCGCGCTTGGTATTTCCATCCTCATGTTTAGTCCGCCTATAATCATAATCTGCAAGTCGCTTCACATAAAGAAGAAGGCCCTTCAAGATGCATTACCCGCGAAGGAAAAGGATGATATTTCGGTTTTTATGTAGTCTGCCTAGGTATTAACTGATAGAACTGCATATATCCCACACCATTGTTCTTTCATGCCATAATAATTGTATGAGTTTGGGGGTTTGAAATACATGCATTTACTGACATTATGATTTTTTGACTTTGTTGTGCGACTGTGAGATCTCCGAGATATTTACACATGGCTCCGTACTGTAGGGGTCTAAGCCGTAATTGTGCCTTGATCACTACAATCATCAGGTCGGATCCCAAGTTATAGTTAGAAGGCAAGAGTCACCAGAAGGAGTGGTTTATTGTATACAGAAATCC